GCATGTCCTTGGTAGATCCTGCACTTGATGGTGACTTGTGCTATGGGTCTTGAAGATTCCATAGGTCCCTCATCCTATTAATGACTGTGCCATATTGCAACAACAATGTTGCAAATTCTGTTTATTCAAAGTGTCTTTACTGCCTTCTTCTTAAATGAGAAAAAACATCTGCTGTTACAGATGAGAAAGCACTTGTTTTAACCAACACCTCGCACAATGTCAAGACATCTTACGATTGCTCACTTTGAGACCAAGAGTTTAATGAAATGAACCAAATTTATTCTATAATACTGTCTGGAACGTAACCTTTCAGAAGGTGGGTCGTGATATTAAAAAGTCCCTGCATGTTATAAATGAACTGTTCCTCATTTTAAAAAGAATTTGAATGTCCCTGTCTGGGACCCATTGAAGACTAATTGCTTGCAGCTTCAAAATGTAGTATGTTCTTATTTATAGTATGATATCGTATAATATAGTATGTTATTCTTACAATTTCTTTATGAATATTTATTGTTAGAATACATATTTTGGATCACAAAAACAAGTACTGAACACTTATTATATCATCATTTAGTTATGATGATGCTCATTGTTACAATAGTCATTTTCATATACATTTCCTAAACATCATTTTGAATTCGTATTGGAAAGACTCATTTTGGAAAGCCTTGTAAAAAAAGCAAAAAACCATTTGTACTTCACTTATATAGCACGCTTGACAATACTACAGATAATGTTTACACATCTTCAGTAAGCTAGCCTCACACTGAAACACAGTTTATATGATTGAACAGATACAAAATGAAACAGGTTCTAAAACATTAAAGTCTAGTTATCAGGGAGAAGTCTATGGTTTCTTTGCATCATAATTCAAACACTACTGAGGTAGAAAGAAAATTACCAGATTTAGACAGTTACATCTCTGACATGTATTGACAAAAAATACACTTCTGGAATTTTGTACATGCCATTTTTCAATAAAAAAATAACATTTAAAAAGTTTGTTTTGCTCTCATAAAGAAAACAAATCCTAAATGTCATGCAGTCATGCAGATGCATGCCATAAGCTGAAGAACTCTCACTCTTTTCTCAATTTTATTATACAGCCAAATTTCCATCATTACTGAAAAAATTTAAAAAAAATTGGGGGTCATTAACTACAGGACTTACATTGCCGGTAACCTGGTAATAGATTATAGTAGCGAAAACAAGCCCAAGGTGTAAATCGTTGAATCTAGGACAACATTTTAAGTTAAAGTTTAGACCTGTTAACACACACACACACACACACACACACACACACACACACACACACACACACAAGCTTCTTTATATTTTGTTTACAAGTAAGGCAAAATCAAAGTCTTTAGGAAAAGTCCTCCAGGCTGATTGAACAGCTTTAAAAAGCTTTTGTTTTGATGTTGGCTGCCTTTTGTTTCATTTTCTGTCAACACAATCCCTGGATTCTGGGATTGTGCTCCACTGTGTGCTAACCAGGTATGGTTTTATTGGTTTATTCACTGGTCTGGAATCACCGAGCCTCATTTACAAACAGTGCAAATGCACAATTTTTTACAGGAAAATCTGTGATTTATCAGTATTTTCATAACTGAATTTCTTTGTATTTTGCAAACAAATGTTGTAACCCCTCTGACAATGGATAGCAAACAAATCACAGCCTGGCTGCAGTAGGAATTTGAATTTGCTACAAAAAACAATAACCCCCCCCCCCAATTATTATAGCCTTATTTACAGTTTTCCAAATGATCATATACCACAAAATAAATAGCACAGGTAAAGAAAACAAAAACACTAAATGAAAACAGTGTATTCAGCGCATGTATAAACTGACAGCTTAGAGTACTCAGCCTTCTTGGAGTACCTGGGTGTGGTGCTTGAGGGTCGTCCTACTGCGAGACTGCAATGCTCATGTGAGCAACGAAAGTGAGACCTGGAGGGGCGTGACTGGGAGGAATGGCCTGCCAGATCTGAACCTGAGCGGTGTTCAATTAAATTAAATTAAATTTTATTTATACAGCGCCATAACACAACAGTCACCTCAAAGTGTTTCATATTCCAAGGTAGACCCTACAATAAGTGTTGTGTTGACTTCTGTGCAAATAACAATTTGTCCATAACAAACACAATGTTTGAACATAAGGACAGACTGTGGCACCAGGACACCCTAGGCCGCAGGTCGATGATTGACTTTGTAATCCTATCATCAGGGTGGCTGTAGCTCAGGCAGTAGAGCAGGTCATCTACTGATCGGAAGGTTGGTGGTTTGATTCCTGGCTGCCAAATATCCTTGGGCAAGATACTAACCTTCATACGCCGATGGATTCATCAGTGTATGAAGGTGTGTGTGAATGTTAGTTAGAAAGCACTTACGTAGAAAATGTGTTTGTGTGAATGCTTTACAAGTTGTGTAAAGCGCTTTGAGTCCACGGAAGAGTAGAAAAGCGCTTAATAAGAACCAGCCCATTTACCATCTTTGGCTATATGTTCTGGACACTCAGGTGAAGAGAGGCGCTGATCACCACCTGGTGAGTTGGATCAAGTGGTGGAGGAGATCTGTGGGGCACATGAATATATAGTGATGTTGTGCTGGGAATGCCACATCTTCAACTCCCACATTGGGCAGAACTTTGACAGCATTCCAAAGGATGCTGGGGAGAAGAAGGAGGAGTCCTATTGGGATTGATTACCCTGTGGGACTTTGGATTTAATTTTTTTGATTGATTCGTACCAACGGGCCAAGTGGAAAAATTGGACCAGTTCTTTATCCTCTCAAGGATACTTGAGGGTGCATGGGAGTTTGCCCAGTCTACATGTGTTTTGTGGACCTGGAGAAGGCATTTGACTGTTTCTTAGTGTTGTGTGGGAGGTGCTTCAGGAATAAGCGGTGTCTGGCCTGTTGCTATTCGCCATTCAGTCCTTATACGACTTGCAATTGCGCGGTCCACATTGCCGGCAATAAATCAGACTTGTTCTCTCCAAGGAGAGAAGTATTGAAGTCTTGGGGAGAGGGGAAAATGAGATCGACACACAGATTGGTGCTGCGGCTGCAGTGATGTGGACGCTGTACCGGTTCGTAATGGTCTGCGTCCCTAACTCTCAACTATGGTCACAAGCTTTGATGGCGGAATAAGCTTTCTCCAAAGGGTGGCTGGCTTCTCCCTTAGAGAAAGGGTGAAGAGTCTGGCCATCTGGGAGGGACTCAGAGTAAAGCTGCTACACCTCCATATTGAAAGGCGGCAGTTCAGGTGGTAAGGGCAGCTGACAAGAATGCCCCCTGGGTGCCTCCTTGGTGAGGCAGAGGGGCAGACCCAGGAATCCTAAAGAGATTAGGAGGAGGTGGCTGGGGAGAGGGAGCTGCTGCCCCCTGCGACCCCGGATAAGCGCAAACAAACAAACAAAAAATATATGGATGCAAAGAGGTGTGGGAGTCAACCTTCATCCACTCATTTTCTTCCACTTATGTGGGACAGGGTCATGGGGCAGAGGCCTAAGGAGAGCCGCCTAGACCTCCCTCAATCCTGCTACCTCCTCCAGCTTATTTGAGGGAACACCAAACCTGTCTTTACCACAACAGAGTGGCGGGCAGCATCCACAGCCTCATCTATTAATTTAAAAATATTCTATTAATCTGTGTTTTATTGTTTCTTAAATGTTCTTATTTTTCCACTGAAAATGACTTCTACCATTGCTGGATGTGATCATTTACAATATATATGTTTTTGGTACTACACCCTTGATGCTGAAGAATCTGGATTTTCTGTTTTCATTGCATTGAGCTTTTCATATGAGGCTGACAGATTACTCCATGTGGTCCTTGTCCTCCGTCTGTTAGTCATAGCGCCTTTTTCAAATTTTCTTTCTTACTTGAGCGAAAATAAGTGTTTCAGGGGAAATGAACTCCTGCATTTCAGACTCATTATCGCTTTTTATTTATTTTTAAAAAGTTATCACTCCTGTGGAAACACTTTGGAAAGCTTCCACCTTGGACCTCAGACATTATTATTTAATTTTGTGCAGTCACACTTTCTCCTTATTTCCTGCCTAGAGGTGCAGGCGTCTCTCTTTACCACATTATCACCACTTTCTCCACTTCATCTGGAGGGAAATGTGTCCTTATGTAGAAAATTGGGGCGGGTCAGTCTGCAGATAGTATGCAAACTGTATGGAGATTCTACAAGGTTGTTGATTCCGAACACTTCAGATTTATTAAAATAAGCAGTAAAAACTAAATAGGCCGGTTGTATGTTTTATAAATCCAACAATAATTTTTCTTGGGAACATTTTTTTTTTTCGTTACACAGAGTAATTCTACGTAAACATTAGTAAATGAGGCCCAGTGTCATGCTGACACTTTACAGCTTTACAGATGCACAGACACTTCTTTAATAGGTTCATAATTTCATCAGTTTTGATAAGACTGCCAACATCAGTGGCTGAAATGCAGCCCCAAACCAAAACAGAGTCCCCACTGTGTTTAACGATGGCTGTAAAACACTCACCGTTGTCTCTTCTTGACCTTCTTCATGCACTCTAGCAAGCTGAATTTTTTACATTTGGACCTATCGCTCCATAAGATGTGGAGGATTTTCTCCCCGCTTCCCTTCTATTGGCTTCTTGACACATTTCCTGTTTTTGACGATGCATCTCTCCCCAACCATTTCTTAATAACGTGACATAATTATTTGAATACAATTTCTCTTTGCCATGTGATTTGTATCAATGTTTCAGTGAACACTCCCACCACTTTGAGTAAAAACTTCTCCAAATGTTTTGCAAGAACTCTCACTTGTGTGAGACCCCATGTGGACAGTCAAATGACTATTTTGACTGAAAGTCTTACCACAAGTTTTGCAAGAATATGGCCTCTCACCTGTGTGAGTTCTCATGTGGACATTCAAATGACTGTTCTGACTGAAGCTTTTACCACAGGTTACACAGGAGTAGGGCTTATCACCTGTGTGAGTCCTTATGTGGACAGTTAAATCCCTCATTTGGCCAAAACCTTTTCCACATGTTTTACAAGAATACGGCTTCTCACCTGTGTGAGTTCTTGTGTGCCTTTGCAACTTTGATAAGCAGGTAAATTTTTTCCCACATGTGTTGCATTGATAAGGCTTTATATGTGTGTGAGTTTTCATGTGGGCAGTCAAATTACCGCTTTGTGTAAATCTTTTTCCACACGTGGCACAAGAATATGGCTTCTCACCTGTGTGAAACCTAACATGACGTATCAAATTTGAAGCGTCCCTAAACGGTTTCCCACAGATCTTGCAGGGATAGGGCTTTTCACCTGTGTGGGTTCTCATGTGGTTCAGTACTTTGTCACGTCTTCTGAAATTTTTCCCACATGCTTCACAAGAATATGGCTTTTCACCCGTGTGAATGGTTATGTGGCTCTTCAACTTTTCCAAGCGGATAAATCTTTTTCCACAAGTGTTGCAGTGGTAAGGTTTTATACCTGTATGCGTCGCCATGTGCACCGTTAAATTGCCTTTATGATAAAATCGCTTCCCACAAGTATCGCAAGAATGTCGCTTCTCACCTGTGTGATATCTAATGTGACATATCAGATTTGATCTGTCACTAAATGCTTTCCCACAGATGTTACAGGCAAAAGGCTTCTCACCGGTGTGAGTTCTTATATGGACCAACAAGTTATCCTTTCTCCTGAATTTTTTCCCACATGCGTCGCAAGAGAAAGGCTTCTCACCTGTGTGAATGCTCATGTGTACTTTCAATGTTGACACGTATTTAAATCTCTTCCCACAGGTGTTACAAGAATATGGTTTCTCATCTGCTCTTCCCTGGCATAGAGAGTCGTGAGAAAGGAGCTGGCTGTTTGGCTCTTCTTTACAGGAACTCTGTTCCTCAAAAACTGAAGAGATCATGAAGGGATTGGTTTGCTGCTCCAGTACAAGCTGCTCTCCCTCCAGTACAAGCTGCTCTCCCTCCAGCACAAGCTGCTCTCCCTCCAGCACAAGCTGCTCTCCCTCCTGATTTGTGAAGAGTTCCTCCTCTTCCTCTTTTATTTGTAGAAGGCCTAGGTCCTGCTGGTTCAGACCAGATTTATTCTCCAGGTTAAAGAGCCATTTGCCATCGAAAATGTCCTCCTTGCATGCATAGTGGTCTAAAGGAATAAAGGGACACATAAAAACATTACTACTGTGATGAGAGGTAAATACATTTTTCAACACCAATAATGACCTTAGACATTGTTGTATTTGGTGTATGATATTGTGAGTTTTTTCTATCCGTTCACCATCTAAATGTATTTGCTTCCACCAATTTGTATGTGTGCAGCTGACAGCCGAGGCTTGTGCGTTAATAAAGACAAGCCTGCAGTCCGCGAGTCCTCTGTTGGGATAGTATGAGTACTATGAGGTAATTAAGATATAATGGGGCCTGATGATTCAAGACTTCGTAGGTGAGAAGAAGGATTTTAAATTCAATTATGGATTTAATAGGTAGTCAGTAAGGACAACCCAGCATGGGAGAAATAGTTCCCATTTCTAGTTCCTGTTAGTGCTGCTGTACATTTGCTGCAGTGTCTTAGATCCACTTGTGCTTTTCTGGGAGCCTTTAAAATAGCCAACAACAAGGAGTCAATATAGTTCAGCCTTGAAGTAACAAATGTGTGGTGTAGTTTTTCACCATCACCATTAACTCGGACGTTAAAGGACATATGCTGGTTAAAAATGACTCCGAGACTCTTCAGTGTTTCTGGAGTCGTTGTGTTAAACCAGAGTAAACGTCATGTTTCTAAAGCTCCATTTTGTCTGAATTTAGGAGAAAAACAATTACTGGACATGCAGACCGTTATGTCTTTCAGACAAACCTGCAGTTTAACTGATTTCTGTTATCAGGTCTCATTTTTGAAAAATAAATAGGTAGATCTGTAATGACCTGAGGCAGCTTTATCAACTAAAGGCTTTGAAAGTAATGGTTAATTTACAGCAGCATAAAAACCCGTGGTACATAATGTTTTTAACACTGATAAAATTATCACTTTTAATATCAATGCATTGTATTTCTATTGTGTCTAATAGACACACTGATGGTTTGGAGAGACTGAAAGAAGCAGTCTAAATAAAAATAAGTGGATGTTTAAGTTGAATACTTGAAGATGGATCTCATGGAAGGATGTGATCGTTTCCTCTCTTGAATGGCTAAATTCTTTTGCTTGTGAAGAATTTTATGAAATCATGACTACTTAAAGTTAATAGGTTATTGGGCTGTGCAGAGCTCTGACTGTCAGCATAGCTACGGTGCAGAAAAGAGGATGGTTTTTATTAGTAAGCGAGTTTTTGTTAGAAAGGAACAAACTATTTTTCCAGGACAAACTAAGTTAGAGTTATCTCCATGAAGGCATGTGTTGGTGAGTTATATGAAGGAAATATCAGCCAAACTGCTTTGATTTGCCATTTTCTTTTTTTTCAGTAGTAATGTTACATTCACTCTGACGAATGGGAACATTGTAACCTTTGTTTCTGTGTTGTCTCTTCTTTGGCTTCAGCTTTGTGCTGGTGTCCACACGGTTGTCTACTTCCTGGTAATGATTCTTAGATCCAGGAGAGCTGTGACAGATGAACTGGTCAGAACGTATTTTGGGTTCATTATCATTACTTTCCTCATTAGTGCAAGGCACCATGAAGGTGTCAGTTTCCTGCTTCAGTAAAAGCTGCTCTTCATTCTCAGTGAAGCAGTGTTCCTCGTGTTCCTCTTTAATCGGCAGAGGAACCGTTTCCTCCTGGTCCAAACTGGAGATGCTCTCCTCATTGCAGAGCTGCTGGTCTGTGAGAACGTCCGTATTGTAGACATGTTGTGGGAGATCTTCAGAAAAAAAGAAATAAAAAGGTACACATGACAAAGGTTACTCCTGTGATCATTGGACATTCAAGTTAGTGACAGAAACAGGTTTCTTTGTGATAAAACAACAATAAAAATGCTAAATTTAAGGTTCTACAGTGAGAGCATGCTGCTCACACTGTTTCATCATTTGTTGGACAGCTTTAATTGAAGCGGCTTTTTAAAAATGTACATTAACCATCCATTTCTGTTCTCAAACTGATCTCCCTGTTGTAGCTCAGTGTGGGGGGAGTTATTTTTTCTCCTTGTAACAACAAGAGGCATGGCATGGGAGGCGGCGATAAAGAGAGGGGACTGGAACTACTAACAATGTGAAGCTTTAGTTTTTAACCTTTCAGCGTCAATCTGCGATTGAGGATGGAGCCTCTCAGTGCCTCATTTGTAAATTAAATATCCTCCACAGAGCTTTATGTTGTGCATTTTCTATGGTTTCGGTTTGGGTAGCTGCTCATGTGGTCGAGCAGCCAGTGCTACCTAGCCTGACCTGTCTCTCCAATGTGATGTTTGTGTATTGTATGTACAGTGGGGCAAAAAAGTATTTAGTCAGCCACCGATTGTGCAAGTTCCCCCACTTAAAATGATGACAGAGGTCAGTAATTTGCACCAGAGGTACACTTCAACTGTGAGAGACAGAATGTGAAAAAAAAATCCATGAATCCACATGGTAGGATTTGTAAAGAATTTATTCGTAAATCAGGGTGAAAAACAAGTATTTGGTCACCTCAAACAAGGAAAATCTCTGGCTCTCACAGACCTGTAACGTCTTCTGTAAGAAGCTTTTCTGTCCCCCACTCGTTACCTGTATGAATGGCACCTGTTTGAACTCATCATCTGTATAAAAGACACCTGTCCACAGCCTCAAACAGTCAGACTCCAAACGCCGCCATGGCCAAGACCAAAGAGCTTTCGAAGGACACCAGGAAAAGTATTGTAGACCTGCACCAGACTGGGAAGAGTGAATCTACAATAGGCAAGCAGCTTGGTGTGAAAAAATCAACTGTGGGAGCAATCATCAGAAAATGGAAGACATACAAGACCACTGATAATCTCCCTCGATCTGGGGCTCCACGCAAGATCTCATCCCGTGGGGTCAAAATGATCATGAGAACGGTGAGCAAAGATCCCAGAACCACACGGGGGGACCTGGTGAATGACCTGCAGAGAGCTGGGACCAAAGTAACCAAGGTCACCATCAGTAACACACTACAACGGCAGGGAATCAAATCCCGCAGTGCCAGACGTGTTCCGCTGCTGAAGCCAGTGCATGTCCAGGCCCGTCTGAAGTTTGCCAGAGAGCACATGGATGATACAGCAGAGGATTGGGAGAATGTCATGTGGTCAGATGAAACCAAAGTAGAACTTTTTGGTATAAACTCAACTCGTCGTGTTTGGAGGAAGAAGAATACTGAGTTGCATCCCAAGAACACCATACCTACTGTGAAGCATGGGGGTGGAAACATCATGCTATGGGGCTGTTTTTCTGCCAAGGGGACAGGACGACTGATCCGTGTTAAGGACAGAATGAATGGGGCCATGTATCGTGAGATTTTGAGCCAAAACCTCCTGCCATCAGTGAGAACTTTGAAGATGAAACGAGGCTGGGTCTTCCAACATGACAATGATCCCAAACACACCGCCCGGGCAACAAAGGAGTGGCTCCGTAAGAAGCATTTGAAAGTCCTGGAGTGGCCTAGCCAGTCTCCAGACCTCAACCCCATAGAAAATCTGTGGCGGGAGTTGAAAGTCCGTGTTGCTCGGCGACAGCCCCAAAACATCACTGCTCTCGAGAAGATCTGCATGGAGGAATGGGCCAAAATACCAGCTACTGTGTGTGCAAACCTGGTAAAGACCTATAGTAAACGTTTGACCTCTGTTATTGACCAAATACTTATTTTCCACCCTGATTTACGAATAAATTCTTTACAAATCCTACCATGTGGATTCATGGATTTTTTTTTCACATTCTGTCTCTCACAGTTGAAGTGTACCTCTGGTGCAAATTACTGACCTCTGTCATCATCTTAGGTGGGGGAACTTGCACAATCGGTGGCTGACTAAATACTTTTTTGCCCCACTGTATGGTCGGCAACGTATCATCTACTTTAATTGCCCCTTGGGGATAAATAAAGTCTCTCTGACTGAAATACAGATCTTTTTGTTCTTGTCCTCCATTTTTAGCCTAAATTAATTGGAGAAATTTTCAAGAAATCTTTTTGATACTTGATGAAAATCATTTGCAGTGGATGTCTAAAGTCCAAGAACTTCTCAAAGGACTACAAATTCACAAACAGGCTGCTCCTGGTTCCAGGTATTAGCCTTAGCACCAGTCTGCAGCATGCATCAATCATAACGCACAGCACGATGTGCCACACGCTTCAAATGCTATTTGTTGTCATATTTTAGTAATATGCAAACATCTTTTGTAGTAACATGTTTTCATGTTTGACATCAGTTTATTGTGTGTTTTTCCTCTTGGGTGTCTGTCTGCAGTATAGTGTGTAATGCTCATAATGCATAATGCCAGGTATGAAGAATGTGATTAGTTGTTCAAATGTTATTAGTTTTTGGCATGTTTACTTAACGGTTTTTCAAATGTAACATAATATCTGAGTGTTTCTCAGTTTTAGACGAGTTAGGCGATTAAAAAAAGAAAAACAGACTAAGACGTCAGGAACATCCCTGGCTTCTAGTGGAGAGCTGTGTTTATGAAAAATCCAATATCACTCTTATTACCCTGGTGTGTTTCTGACTCTCCTCAGAGCACATGCTCCTCTTACAATTAGTTTCAGCAAAATTGTAAATCAAGTAGGAAAATTACATTTATGGAATTGACAGAGTCTAGACAATATTTTATCGGCAGTCCTCTAATGACCCGTTTTCTGAAAGGCACCATGTGGTTGCTTTGTTTAGTGCCATGTCGCACATTCACAGCTCCCACAAAGCTCACCCTGAACTCACCACACAACAGCTGATTAAAGTCACCCACCCATATCTACACTGCTCTAGTACACTTCACATTTGGATGGCTGCTAGGTTAAAACAGGGTTTGGAAAAACATTCCTCTTCTGGTACAGCATTGGACTGAAAATGATTTTAAAATCAGCCAGTAGGCAAAGAACAAAAAAATATATCGCAGTAGGTGAAACTGTGGCCTCTCCTATGCAAAGTATACATAAACCATGAGCAGGTTAAGACTTTTGCACAATATTGAGTTTTTATACTTTACCAGTCTTGGTAGCCGGGAATCGGTCCGCCAGGACCTTTGATCCTGGCCGCTGCCTAACTCACATTGCACCAGACCCCTATGGCGCCTCCTGCGGGTGGTGGGCCTGCAGGAAGATGGGCCCATGTCCCCTTTTTGGGCTGTGTCCGGCTGAGCCACCAGACGCTCGCCCTCGGGCACCCTCCCCCCCAGGGCGGGGCCCCGGTAACCCTATCCCGGGCCGGGTGAACTGTTCCCTCAATGGTCTTTTCATAGGGGTCTTCTGAATCGCTCTTTGTCTGGAGTGCCCACTCCGGGTCAGGGATGAGTTCCTGCCCCAAGTGGAGGAGTTTAAGTATCTCGGGGTCTTGTTCACAAGTGATGGGAGAAGAAAGCGGGAGATTGACAGACGGATTGGTGCTGCGGCTGCACTGATGCGGACGCTGTACCGGTCCGTCGTGGTGAAGAGGGAGCTGAGCGTAAAAGCGAAGCTCTCAATTTACCGGTCGATCTACGCCCTTACCCTCACCTATGGTCACGAGCTGTGGGTAGTGACCGAAAGAACGAGATCGCGGATACAAGCGGCAGAAATGAGCTTCCTCCGAAGGGTGGCTGGCCTCTCCCTTAGAGATAGGGTGAGAAGTTCGGCCATTCGGGAGGGGCTCAGAGTAGAGCAGCTGCTGCTCCACATCAAAAGGATCCAGCTGAGGTGGTTCGGGCATCTGACAAGGATGCCTCCTGGGCGCCGCCTGGGCGAGGTTTTCCGAGCATGTCCCACCGGGAGGAGGCCCCGGGGCAGACCCAGGACACGCTGGAAAGATTATATCTCTCAGCTGGCCTGGGAACGCCTTGGTGTTCCCCAGATAAGCTGGAGGAAGTGGCTGGGGAGAGGGAGGTCTGGGCTTCTCTGCTTAGGCTGCAGCCCCCGCGACCCGGCTCCGGATAAGCGGAAGAAGATGGATGGATATATTTTACCAGGTGAAAATATTTAAGAATGAAAGCTCTCAAAGAGAACATCCCAACAATCATCCTCCATGGAGCAAGCATTTAGGTATTCGTGCACTACACGAGTAATTACCTGCACGAGTAGGTTTTTTTTGAAGAAAGCACCATCTGTTGTTGACACTCAGCAAAGCGGTGTGTTTATAGTGGACACTGAGCTGCAGCCACCCACTGAGTAATTGTATTAACTCAATTATAAAACATCATTGTTGCAAACTCTTTGCTTCAGTGCTTCATTTAATGCATGACTCTGTAGCACTCACCCATATCTTCAACTGAAAATAGACCTGCAGGGCTCTAGAGGGCAACCAAATCTCTGATTGTTCGCATTTGGGGGGTTAGCGTCCAGAGATAGTCAGGGATGGGACCTCTGCGATTGGCCGTGGTCCTGTAATTGTCCCTTAGTCCTTCGCATGGACGTTTGAAAGTGCAGGCACATAGAGAGAGGTGAGTAGCTTGAACAAAGCGATATCGATTCATGAAATCCTGAATCGACTTTTAAATATAAATGTATTTTGCCAGAAATGCCGGAATCTCAGGTTAAAGCTCACAAAACTATTTCAACAAACAGCAAATGAGAGCAGGAAGCCATAAACACAGAGCGGACCATCAGAATCAGCTTTCTCTTTCTCGGATTTCTCACCCGACAGCACGTACACGAACACGCCGTCGGGGCTGAAAGCCGACAGCTCACTGACTCTGAGATTTAAGATTCCTTAAATAATGTTTTATTAATAAAAGAAATCCTGTCCACCCAACATCAACATATCTCAGACATCTTCAGGCTCTCTGCCCTTGGTGTGTTTTGGACCAGCACCTGTGACATCAGTACTTGGTAATTAGGGCTGAACGATTATGGAAAATAATCTAATTGCGATTTTTTGCCCCAATATTGCGATTGCGATGCGATATGCGATTATTTTTTAAGGTCTTTGTCTTCTGTATT